CTCTCTCTCTCTCTCTCTCTCTCTCTCTCTCTCTCTCTCTCTCTCTCTCTCTCTCTCTCTCTCTCCGTGTGTGTGTGTGTGAATGTGCGTGTTTCTCCCTCTGGTCTGACTGCTTCGCGGGCGCGCTAGATCGTCAACTACTCCACAGTGCGCCTGTGCTACAAGTTATCCACTGCCGTCCGACGATATCAATCGAACGACTTGGACGAATTGAACGCGATATTAAAGGAACTGAACCGATTGAACGAAGGAAAAAAATGATCGACTGGAATGAATTGAACGCACGCGTGTTAGTAAGCAGATCATGGGTTCGAACCCGAATCAGATCCACACAAGAATGTTCGAGGCTGGCCCGTTCACCAAGAACAAAGCTGGGGGAAAAAGAGGAGAGAATCCCTAGTTTCGATAACCCGGATAACAAGAGCGAGAAGAGAAGCGAGGAGAAGAGAAAGAAAAGAAGAGGGAACGAAGGGGAGGAGAGGAGAAAGGAAAAGGAAGAGGGGAATGAAGAGGAGAAGACTAAGAAGAGAGGGGAACAAGTACAGAAGAGAAGAGAGGCGAACAGAAGAAAAGACTGGTATTGAAGCCGCCACGTATGAAGACAACAACGATTTGATTTTTGGTTAAATAAAACCAAATGACGGAAAATCAAACCAGTGACGAAGAGAGAGATCTCGCTTGCTTTTCATCATCGACTTGAAGGCGATAGGGACGGCGGAAGACCTTTTGTTTGTTTTTTCTTTTTTTTTCCCCTCTTTTCTTTTCTGTTTCGACGATGGGGGAAGAACTTGGTTACGCCAAAGGCTCAAAGAAGAAGAAGAAGAAGAAGAAGAAGAAGAAGGCTCTTCGCTACCAACCCTCATCCTTCACCCTTCCCTTCTCTCGTCCTCTCATTTTCTCCTTTTTTTCTTTTTTTTGGATATCTTTTCGAAAAAGCACCTCATTTTCTCCTCCCCAAGCTATGTGATATTTTTCAAAGGAGAAAAATATAAATTTTACTCCGTTGGGGAAGAGAAAAGGAGACGAATTCGCCGAAGCGGCTGTGTTATCACAGAGAATTACTGCCGCCCTTCATGGGAGGAGGGAAGGTTGGGGAAGGAGTGGAGTAAGGGGGAGGGAAGCTAGAGGATTAGGGGGGGGGAGGGGAAGGGGGGCTATGTGATAATTTTCGAAGGAAAAGGAAAATAAATCTGATCCACTGGGGGAAAGAGAAAAGGAGAAGAATTAGTCGAAGGGGTTGTTATCACAGAGAATTACTGCCGCCCATCATGGGAGGCGAGAAGGTTGGGGAAGGAGGAGGATTAAGGGGAAGAAGAAGGGTTGATTGACGCGCCGAGACCGTGCAGGGAGAAGGGTTGAGGGAAGAGAGCACGTGATGATGAAGGCAGGGCCGAACACGACAACTTTCCTGAATGTATCTGACTGCTTCTACGGCCGCATCTGGACGCACCTGACGGCAATTACGCCCACAGAGAACTCGAGAAAAGTACTCGCTGTGTCCTTCGGGACATCCGTTAAAATTGGAACGATACAGAGAAGATTAGGATGACACGCATAAATCGATTTAATAAAAAAAAATAAAAAAATAAAAAAATAAAGGCTGTCACCCCAATAATACTGGAAAAAGAAAGAATGAAAATAAAGGGAAGATGGAGCAAGGCGTTCAGTTCGGATAATTTGCAAAACACACCCATAAGTTGAGATCTATGCCAAGATGGCTCTAAAAGATCTGAATAGACCTCTGACAGAAAAGGACTTGCGTGAAATACCCCAGGTGTAGGTTGGACTCCCCATCTTTGCAAAACCATCCAATTTTGCGAAATGCCCCGGTACATACCAACTTTCCCAAAGCCTGACTGCAGAATGCCCAGGGCCAAACGACAAGGTCAAGATTGCAACTTTGCGCACCAACCTGGCGGGGGCATAGCACAAAAAATTCGACCCAAAAGGGCATTCCGCTCTATCCACATCTTTCAGAGGCATTTTGCCCTATATCTCAACTTATGAGGGTATTTTACAAGTTATCCCCAAAAAAGAACAGAAAAAAAAGTAGGAAAAGGTGCTATGAAATGCGGGGGCCCACTCTACGTCATGCTTTGCCATGCTAGACGATGCTATGAACCTCGCCGCACCACCGTCGGAAATGCGATTTTCGACAGTCTCTTCGCCACACAGGCTGTCGACGGGAAGAAAATTCGCCAGTTGTCAGAGGGGCTCGTTCCACACTCCTGGGGGCATCCTCGGGCCCCGAGGACGATTCCTTGGAGTCGCCCGAGGAAATTCCCGCCTTCGTTCCACTCATCCTCGGAAATGTTCCCCGAGGACTATTCCTCGGGTGCTCCCGCGGCCAGTTAGATATTTCGATACACGGATGCTGGGGGGGGGGCGAGGTTGGTCCAGCGAGTTGTGTCCGTGGCGTCGTCCTTGGTCCAGGTGCTGTGGGCGGCGCGAATTCAAAAGTACGCGGCGGAAAAAAAAAAAGGCTACGAAAACGGCGCGCAGTCCCGGATTCGAGTTTTGAAATTCGAATTCCCGTAAGCGAATGACGGCGGCGTGGGTGTCCCTTACGGCTGATGGCAGCAACATTCGTCGGCGGGACCGTTTGGGTACGGGGTGGCGGCTGCGTGGCTTCTGCTGGCACGCCGAACGTCCATGAATACGTCCGAAGCAGCAGGCACGCCGTCACACGATCGCCACCGTTGTCTACTTCGCTACGCACACCTTCGTCGTCGACGTGTACGCCGTGCACTCCGGTTGTGACGACGCAGCATCGCTGTTGTTCCCACTGAAGTCGAGCCTTCTTCACTTGGCCACGTCGCGGAACGCTGCCGAGGATGCACACGTGGAAGACAACCAGGAGGAGGAGCAATAGGACGACCAGCACCAGCAGCGGCAGCCTCCGAAAGACGTCGGCCATGAAAGGCACGTGGATGACGGTGGCAGCTAGAAGACAACGGGGGATCTATCATGTAACGGCGAGAGACAGTGCTGCAAATGCCTGAACGCAGCAAACGACAAAAGCAGGGTAACATATTCCGTTTGTGAAGACAGTGCGCAATCGCCCAGGCGGGGGACAGTTGAAATATTCGAATCTGCCGACCGTTGGGCGCCTTCCCGCTCGGGGCCAAGGGCAGTGGCGCAAGACAGCCCCTTTTCGACATCGCGGAGGCCAGCAGGCCGCCAAAGGGGACCGTTGCCGGAGTATTCCATGACGCCGACCGTTGCCGGTCGAAGATGTCCGTCCACGGGCGCCAGGAACAGCAGTGGTACAGACGGCCGTCGAAAAATGTCGTCGAGAGAGCTGCCGACGACGTCCCGATTCTTTCGGATGCTCGACCTCCGAGGGACCTCGGGAGGTCCCTTGGGGAACGCCTCGAAATGGCTCTAGCCCGAGGAATCCCCGAGGATAAGTGGAACGATCATTTCCTCGGGGGATTTACTCGCCCGAGGAGTGTGGAACGAGCCCCAGAGAATGCTTCTCGACACCTGTTGTCGAAAGTTGTGGAGTCCACAGCCTGCTATTTCGATGCTTTCCACACTCCTTGGCTGCGCCATCTACTTCGCTACGAAATTTGGTGAGTGAGGGTAAGGTCGGGACGGACTAAGGGTCTCGTTCCACACCACTTGAACTCAAGGGTTGAAGGAAAATTCTTCATTCGACCCCGCCCTAACCTGGCCGCGGAGTTGTTTCTACTCTCTGGCTCTCTAGTGCTAGCCCTCGAAACTCAAGTGCTGGGGGGCCAAATTCGCACTTGAGCTCAAGGTACCTCTCCCGGGAGCCTTGAGTTCAAGTGCCAGCGGATACTGCCAGCACTCCAAGTGGGACTTTTTTTACTTTTTCTTTTTTTCCAAAAGGCGATCCTGGTCCAGGATTGGTCAAGCGGTGGAGTTCCGTTTCAAGTGCGGCCGTTTCAAGTATTTTGTGAAGTGCATATGGAACGAAGATTGCAGTAAGTATTTTTTAATCACGATTTTCAGGTTAGGGCGCACTTCAGGCTCTAGGGTTCTCTAGTGGTGTCGAAAGAGACCCTAAGAGCCTCATTCCTTGCCACTTGACTTCAAGTGCGACGTGAAAAATCATCGTTCCACTCCGCCCTAGAGAAATGTTTTTTTGTTTTCACATTTTGCGTCTCAAGCGGCCGGGATTGAAACTCAAGTGCAGCCCAGGCAAAATCACTAGAGAAATGCTTTTTTGTTTTCACATTTTGCATCTCAAGTGGCCGCTCTTGAAACTCAAGTGCAGCCCAGGCAAAATCGCACTCGAGTTCAAGTTGCCTCCTGGAGGTGCCTTGAGTTCAAGAGCCACACTCGGGTTTCAGCCACGGGTGCAGGTTTTCATTTTTTTATTTTTTTTACGCCGCGCATTCCTGGTTCGTGGCCTATCCTTTTTGCGGTCCAGCGAGCAACGGCTATCGGTGGTGGTACAAGGTGCCAGCAGTGGAACCGTGGGCGGTGGTGGCTGCGGATTCCGGCGGGCCATTGGGGCACACATGCACGGTTACCGTTGTAGCGCGTGGTGCACCGTCATTTGGGTGGGAAGATTTAAATCGGTCGCCGCGCTGCAGCTGCACGTAGCCGTTGGGACGGATTGTTGTGGGCGAGGGATGTTCTACCGCGGCAGGTCCATATGGCAGTCCAAGACAAGCACAGTTGCTGCTGGTTCCTGCACCGGCGTTCGCAAGTGCTTCTGCAAATCTTCGTTGTCCATTCCTGTCGCCTGCGCTGTGGTGCAACGTGCATGGTGCGAGGAAGTTGTCGCTGCTGTGTGTCCTCCTCCTCCTGTTGCTGCTGCTGCTCATACTGCACCTGTGGTCTTCGAGGCTTACAAGGGGTGTGCCCCGCAAGCGGAAGACGACTCGATTGAGCATGCGTCCAGCGTGTAAAGGAGGGATGGGTGGCGGCGACGTGGCGGAGACGTTCATGTACGGGGTTTTGGGGGCTGGCGGCGAGGGCATGCGTCCAGCGTGTAAAGGAGGGATGGGTGGCGGCGACGGGGCGGAGACGTTCATGTACGGGGTTTTGGGGGGTGGCGGCGAGGGGTGTTTTCCATCCGATACACCACGTTACGATCCATCACTTTTTGCACATTGGCCACCGCATCTTCAGCCCCTTCCCGATGATGACAATTGGCAGCCGCCTCCATCAACATTCGACCTCGCGCACGGCTCCACCCAGTCCATATCGGACAGTCGAGTGTGGGTAAGAGATCAGCAGCCGAGGCAGGGGCCAATGACGTCACTACTGTTGGATGAATTGCAGCAGGGGATTTGCCTACCGCTTGATCTGCAGTTGTCTTCGGGGGGTCGGCCTGCCGCATCATGAACGTTGATCATCAATCCCGCCAGCCGTTCGGATGACGGCGAGGGTCCGAGCATCATCAGAGGGTAGGCAAGCCAATGTTTGTGTGACGAACCAGCTTCTGAGCCTGCGCCATCTTCCAAGCCCCTTCTCTCTCCTTTTCTTTTCGAATTTTGCTCGGCCCTACAAAGCCCCTCTCCGTGTCTGAATAAAGATGCGTTGCTGAGACCCGTGTTGATTCTTGAAATTTTGTTTTCATTATTTGGAAATACGTGGGAATTGTGCGCGCTTTAGTGAGCGCGCTAGGAATTTGGCACGACACTTAGAAATTCCGAAATAAATGCAACCCGACGTGTCCTTTTTGTGCATGAATGTTCTCGGCCACGTCGCGGAAAACTTTGGGAATTTGGTGGGAATACGAAGGGATGTAGGACTGTCTTTTCCCGCGCCTACTTTACGCGAGGATATGGTGATTTCAATTTTTGAATTAGCATAGGAATCTGTAACTGTTTTGGTACCTCTTTTTGCATTTCTGATCGGCGCCATGTAGGCGAGCTTCCCCCTTTCTGCTCCCCTCGCCATCTTCGACGCTCCTTCGCGCTCGCGCTCACTTTCCTGCCATAACAGTTTTTCCCTCTCTCTCTCTCTCTCCTTCTCTCCCCCGCGTGCCTTTTCTCTTTCTTGATCGTCCGAATCTTGGATCCGTTTCGTGCTATCCAGCGCACTCTTCTCCCTCCCACTCTGAGTCCTATGCCCAAGAGCCCGGTCGATCCTCTCTACCGCCCAGCTCAAGGAGAGGCGCCGTGTAAGGAGAAATTCCTATCACGCAGCGACTCTGCTTGGCTGTGATCGGACTCAGCAGGATCGACATGGCTTTTGCCAGGTGATTATCCTGAAATCCTCTCTCTCCCTTCCCTGACTCGACCTTCATCCTCCCTCGTACCTATCTCCCTTCCCGCAACTATAAATTTCGCAAGCGCGCCCGCAAATCTCTCTCTCAACTCGTCTGCCACCTTCCGGGAAGCACTGCCTAAATGGTATGTGTGAAGTGCGAGTCGAAAAGTCCCGACAAGCTGGCTGTAGCCGGCGGTGCGCCTGATCGCCACGACGGACTGTGGGATCCGGGCAGGCCGTGTCGAGACTAAGTTGGCGGGGTGACGATCGCAGCGGGGGAAAGTGGCACGTGATGGTCGAGATCGTCAGTGCGTGCATGGGGATAGTGATCGGAGTTGAATGGATGAATTGCCTGGGGCCATAGTGGAACTTCACAGCGGATGCGCCTCCTTGTCCCGAAACTATTCTTTGGTGTCAGTGCAGCTCAACGGTAGTTAAGCCGAAAATTCTTTCTCATCTTCGAATTTTTCTTGAGTGATCTTCATCTATCTTGTTGTTCTCGTCCATTTTTCACACTTCTTCTCCCCACCCACTTTACGACATGAATGATTATGTATGCTTGTTATGTAATGGTTGTCTGATGGGTTTACGTTTGATTGGCCATGGGATGACGGGTCAGGAGTGCAGAGCACGCAGAAAACTGAATGATGCATGACTGCCATTTTCGCACCTTCCACGATAAATGACCGCAAGTATAGATGGAAGTACTCGGATGATGAACTTGTCGTTTGATAAATTAGTCTTTGATTAGGCCGAAGAGTTGTTACGAATGAAATGCATGAACATGGTTGAGTCAATATTGTGAGGATTTTGTTCGAGGATGCAAGAGTGTTTAAATTAGTCGGTGATGTAAATGCGGGAGAAGTACCCCGGAATCTTTAACCCGGAATACACTTCGTATGCCATCTGCCTTATGCTGCACGAGATCTGTAGCTTAACCTTGATACGCAAAACCCGAGGGGCGGCAGAAACAAAAGTCGCCGCACAAGTGGATCAAGTGCCGTGTCCCACCCAGTGTGAGTTCTGCCCCCAGAACTTCTCTATGAGGACTTTCTGACAAAACCGCTAGATCATCACAAATACTCTCTCTCTCTCTCTCCGGACTATTTTATCTTTTTTGAGAAGATGGGGGATTGTTCTCATCTTGCTTCGCATAACTAAGATGAATAAAAGCCAGTGCCGGAAAAACCCGATCGATAGGCTGTGTATTTTAGATCATTACGCCTGTCGGACTAACAATGAATGATTGAGGTCAACCTTTGCGACTGATTGAATTGCCATGTAGACTGATGGCCTCAACCCGACTGGGCGCCGGCCTCCCGTTTCCCCGCCACGTCCCTTCCCGTACAACGAGAAAAGGACACGTGTATGCGAGTGGGACGTACGATACGTCGTCGCCAAGATCGGCGACCGATACTATTTCCCTCATGAAACTCGGTGCTCGGGATGCGTTGGTGCTGGTTTCGTCATTGTTGATACGCATTTTCTGCCTTATTCACTGCTATTGCCGTTTAATGAGTTGATCGTCATTCCGTGGACGGCAGTGACGCCCCATTGGCATAACACTCTTTGCAGCGATTCATGTCGCTTCGAGCTTTACCAATCAAAGGGCTTTCAATACCGAGTACGGAGTAAGGACGAGCATAAGGAAAGAGCCACGCGACTGAGACCCTCCACGTCGGATTCTGAGCTATGCAATGAGCCGCGTCCGGATTTGATCCGAAAACGTGACACCAAGCACGTACCCGCCCCCTTTCATGCGAAACGAAGAGCAACGGCCCGATGGGAAGTCCAACGATACTTTTTAGATTGAACTTCTCCAATGTCGTGTGTCCTGCGCGCGCCTTTTTCTCCCGCGCCGTGACGGACTCCACCCCTTCTTACTAAGTCGGACCGACACAGGGGATTTCGGTTTTGTACTCAACCTTCCAAAAATCCTTGGCACACCCCATCTCGCTGTCTTTTTGGGGCCCCTTCCGCAACTCAAACACTCCGACGAAAGACAGCACAGGGCGTGAGGTTCGAACGTCACACGTAGACGTTCATGTACGGGGTTTTGGGGGGTGGAGGCGAGGGGTGTTTTCCATCCGATACACCACGTTACGATCCATCACTTTTTGCACATTGGCCACCGCATCTTCAGCCCCTTCCCGACGATGACAATTGGCATCCGCCTCCATCGGCATTCGACCTCGCATACGGCTCCACCCAGTCCACATCGGACAGTGGAGTGTGGGTGAGAGATCAGCAGCCGAGGCAGGGGCCAATGACGTCACTACTGTTGGATGAATTGCAGCTGGGGATTTGCCTACCCCTTGATCTGCAGCTGTCTTCGGGGGGTCGGCCTGCCGCGTCATGAACGCTGATCATCAATCCCGCCAACCGTTCGGACGACGGCAAGGGTCTGGGCATCATTGGAGGGTAGGCAAGCCAATGTTGGTGCGTGAAGAATTCAACAGTTGGTGAATTCAACCCAACACTTGGGCATTTTCATTTTCCCCCCTCTCCAAACCCAGCAATTACGTTTAAGGAACACGAGGACAACAAAAGCAAATCGCACGAAGGAGACGTATATGCGAATATTTCAATCAATCCACAAAAACAGAACAAAATAGCAAGTTGACGAGGAAACATTGTTTGGCGAAAACACACGGAACATGCTCTGTTCTTGATGGTTGTTTTTATGTCGGTTAAATGAATAAATCAGTGACGGAACGGGACATAAGAACCACGAAAGTACATGACAGAAACGAAACGCGTTGTCAATGAAATTCAATTCGTCAAACGCAAATAAAAAAAGCTAGTCCACTCATATGATAAAATTTTAAAACCCAATGACAGAAAACACACGCGACATACCGTCTGACAAAGGGACGAAATACCTTCAGATACATATCATAATGGCGTCTGTTTTAATTAAGTTGTCTACCGAAAAGCAAAAATTTTGAAAAAATGCATGTCATAACCCCTCACCATCAGCGTGCAAGCATTGATTACTTTCGCTGGCAAACGAAAGGATTGACTTGCACGATTCCCAAACGATGGTGGGTGGC